CTTAGTTTACAGACCTTTTACTCTTTTTTGTCTGATTTTCCTGGTTCACATTTTTATTATATATAAATGGCATTTAACTTTTTTTAAAAATTCTGTTTCTGGAATATAGAAGTACAGTTGCTTCGGTATATTTACCTTGTACCCTATATTACAAATCACTTGCTGAAAGTCACTTGTTAGTCCTAGTGTCTTTTGTAGAGTTCTTTGGATTCTCTCTACAAACAAAGACAGTTTTACTTCTTTCTTTCTAATCTGAATGCCCTTTATTGTATTTTTCTTGCTTTATTGCATAAATTTCTGAACAAAGTTTGATAGAAGTGGTGAGAGCAGACATCCTGCCTTGTTTCTGATCTCAAGAGGAAAGTATCTTTTCCTGCTGATTCAGTCTTTCATCATGAAGTATGATGTTTGTTGTGGGTTTTCATAGTTGCCTTTTACCAGATCAAGTAGGTTACTTTCTATTCCTAGTTTTCTGAGTGCCCTTGTATTTTTTTAAAGTCAGAAATGAATATTGGATTTGTTCAGTGGACAAATTTCCCTGACTATGATTTCTGTTTTTCAGTTTGTTACTATTGTGAATCACATGGATTGATTTTTTTTTCAAATAATAAGCCAACCTTGAGTTTCTAACATAAAATACAATTGGTTATGTTAAATTATCCTTTTAGTATATTGTTAGATTCAAATTGCTTATAAATTGTATAATTTTTTTTTTTGGCCTGGGTTTATGAGGGTTATCAGTCTGTGGTTTTCTTTTCTCATAATGCTTTTCTGGTTTTGGTGTCTGGGTAATGCTTGCTTTGTAGAATGAATTGGGAAACATTTGCTCCCTTTCACATTTTGGAAGAGTTTGTGTAGAACTGCTGTGCTTTTTCTTCCCCTAAATGTTTAATAAAATTTATAAGCTGTGTGGACCTGGAGTTTTCTTTGTGTCAAAGTTTTAACTGTGATTTTCATTTCTAAAATAGATAGGAAGATAATATCTTTAACTGTTTCTTAAGTGAGCTTTTGTAGCTTGTGTATTTCAATAAGTTGGACTTTTTATCTAAAATTTCAGATTTATTGGCATAAAGTGTCCGTAAGGTTTTATCCTTTTGTTACCTATAGACATCTGTAGTAATGTTGTTTCAGTTATTTTTTTATTTTTATTTTTCGTAGTTCTGGTGATCCAACCCAGGGCTGTATGCATCCTAGGAGAGCGCTGTACCACTGAGCTACATCCCCAGCCCTATTATTTTTTATTTTAGTATTTTTTTTCTTTTTCTTTACCTGCTGATCCAACTGGCAAGAAGTTTACCAATTTTATTGATTTTTTTCCAAACAACTAGCTTTTCCTTTTATTGGTTTCTTTCTATTGTTTTTCCATTTTATAACTTATTGATTTTCACTCTTTATTTCTTTTTCTTACTTGAATTCAATTTCTCTTCTCATATTAGTTTTATAAAGGAAAATCAGGCTCACTGACTTAAGATCTTAGTTTATAATGTAGGTATTTGGTGCTAAAAATTTTCCATCCAACAGTGCTTTAGCAACCTAAAGAAAGTTTCAAATGTTGTATTTTTATTTTCATTCAGTTCAAAATAATAATGTCTTTTAATATCTTGTTTGATCCATGGGTTATTTAGAAGTATATTTAATTTCTTAACATTTGAGTTTTATGGACACTTTATGCCAATAAATCTGAAATTTTAGATAAAAAGTCCAACTTATTGAAATACACAAGCTACAAAAGCTATACTGCTTTGTTTATTTAATGATTATTTTAGGCTCTGTACCATACACGTTTAACTTATCACCACATATCTTCAAGTATAGTATAAGAAATACCTTCACGTATAGTATAAGAAACTTGGAGTAATGTACTTCCGTCTCTCCTGTTATTTATATTATCATTGTTATGCACCTTACTTTTGTTTATGTTTTAAAACCCATAGTACATTGTATTTTTGAATAAATAGTCTGTTATCTTTTAAGGAGTTCTAAAAAGTAAGGAAAAAAATCTTATTTACTGACAAAGTGACCATTTTTGTTGCTTTTATTCCTTTGTATGTTCCAGATTTCTTTCTAGTATTATTTCTTCTCTCTTGAGGGATTTCTTTTAACATTTCTTATGGTGTGGATCTGCTGCTGATTAATTTCATCAACTTTTGTACATCTTTACTTCACCTTCATTTTTGAAAAATGTTCTCACTGTACAATAGACACCTACATTGACAGTTTTTTATTTCTTTCAGTAGTTTAGTGATGTTGGTCACTGTCTCCTTGATTGCATTATTTATGACAAGAAATTTGGGCCATCATTATCTGCACTCCTTTCTATGTGACAAGCCTTTTTTCTCTGGCTGCCTCTATGATGTACTCTTGTTAACCAGCTTTGATAAATTTGGTTGTCATGTGTCATTTTCTCAACCTTGGAAATTTTTTGGTCATTGTTTCTTCAAATATTCTTTTCTACCCCCTACTCTTGTCCTTTGGTGAGTCATATGCATACTAGGCTACTTGACCTTGACCCACAAATCACTGATGCATATGGCACATATCTTTTAAAAAAAATCTCAAACATTATAATTTCAGATGTTAAGTTTGAATTGGTTGTGTGTGTGTGTGTGTGTGTGTGTGTGTGTGTTATTGAAGATTAAATCCAAGGCCACAAACATGCTGGGCAAGTGCTTTACCATTGAGCTACAGTCCCTAACCCTGACTTGGTATTTTTCATATCTTTCAGATCTCCACTTAACATTTTGAATTTATGGAGCATAGTTCTCTTAACTGTTTTAATGTCTATCTTGGTTAATTCTAACATCTGTGTCAATTCTTAGTCAGTTTTGATTCACTGATTATTTTCCTCATTATGGTTTGTGTTTTACTCCTTTGCATCTCTGATAATCTTGATTGGATGCCAGATGTTATGAATTTTATTTTGTTAAGTCTTGGATTTTTTATTCCTATTAATCTTTGCTCTGGAATGCAATGGAGTTACTTGGAAGCTGTTGGATCTTTGGAGTTTTGCTTTTATGAGTTGTTAGGAAGGTCTAGAACAGTGCTTAGTCTAAGACTAATAATTATTCTGCATGGATTTTTAGGCTTTACTGAGCGGCTCTTGGCCACAGGCATTGATCCCAACCCTGTGTATGAGCCAGCTACTAGTTTCTGTAATCCTATCCTTCAGATGGTTCTTTCCACAGCTTCAGGTGTTTCCCTTATATGTATGAGTTGATCAGTACTCTGCTGTTTACTTGAGGGGGATCCTCTTCACATTTCTGGGGCTCTCTCTGGGAAGCTCTCTTTCCCCTGGTATCTAATTGAAGAATTCTAGGTTGATTTTCCTGGTTTCTCAGCTCTGTATCCTTAACTGGATGTGTCTGCTGGGATCTGCCTCCGTTTTCCTTCCCTGGGTGATGGTTTAGAATCTCTCTCAATGTGTCCAGGGCTATCACAGGATTCATTTTATTTATTTTGTATCTCTCAGAGATCATTGTCCTTTTTTGCCTGGTGTCCAGTATCTTGAAAACCATTGTTTCATTTATGTTTAATCGTGTCTTTGTTGTTTTCAGTGGAGGATAACCTAACAAAAACCACACGTTGACTCTTGTTTCTGTGAACTCCATGGTATGGCTCTCATGGGTCAGGGTAGTATTTTCCATCTTAATTATTACTATTATTATAGGCACAAGGGCAGCTGTTGTTCCAGCTAGCCCCACATTGAATCTGGGTATTGATTATAGGGATGCTTTACCACTGAACATCCCTAGTCCATTTTATTTTTGATTTTTGAAATAGGATCTTGCTAAGTTGCTGAGGCTGGCCTCAAACTTGTGATCCTCCTGCCTCTGCCTCCTGAGTTGCTGGGATTGTTGGCATGTGCCAGATTCCATATTAATTTACTAAGATCTACAAATAATTAATGAACATCCCATGAAGAAGTAGCTTTAGAGTTACTTTAAGGATGTGGAAATAATCATAATCAGTATGTGGCAGAGTGCAGATTCAAACACAAATCTGACTCAAAGTCTTTATACCGTTTAGTTGTAGTGAATATCACTTCAAATAAGGGAAAACCATCTATTAGACATTTTACCCTATCTCTAGTTACCAGGAATTTATGATTGAGTCTCAAATCTGCCTCTTATTAGCTTTGTGATCTTGGATAAGTTTTTTTTTGTGTGTGTGTGTGTCTGTGTGTGTGTGTGTGTGGGGGGGGTGCTGGGGATTGAACCCAGGGCCTTGTACATGCAAGGCAAGCACTCTACCAACTAAGCTATATCTCCAACCCCTAGGATAAGTTATTTGCTTCATGCAGCCTCACTTTTTAAAGTCTATAATGTGGGCATGGTAATACCTAAAATCAGAAAGGTTTCTTATGGATTAAAGAAGGTGGTGCCTCTGAACAGGCTTCATACAGCATCTAAGGATGTAAAATATAGGGCCCAGCTACTGATTTCAGACAGGACCTGGACACTATTGCAGTCTAAGAATGGGAGCCCTGGGGACTTTGGGAGCTGGAGGTCACACATCAGTTGCCATTGAAAGGGACAAGGGGCCAGCTGCCATTCCAGCTATTCCCACATATGGGGACTTGAACTCTGGGTATAAAACTCCTAATTTTCCAAGAGAAGCCAAAAACTTGTTTATGAATTCTATTAATTTTTAAATGGTGGTATCTAATTAAAACAGAAACCATGTGGGCCAAACAATGCAGTTCTTGACTGCAGATGAAAGGAGTTTTGGGCTTGGAGCTCCTACAAGTGCCAAGTTGTGGGCTGGACAGCAGGAGACAGAGGCAGGTCAGCAGGGCCTCCTCAGGGAGCTGCAGTCCAGTGGTAAGAGAAGCCTTCCGCACCGAACGGGGCACTATAATAGGATTTGGCATAATGGGATTTGACCCGCATTATCCTTGAACTCCTTAGGCCTGGACCTGCAGAGTGCTTTTTGTAGCTGAAATTGAAACAGTAAAACAATTTGTGGCACGAGGAGTGAATGTCTTGGGGAACATTTGGAGGGCTTTAGTGTTTCCTGAGGGCTTTCACTATCTCATTTTATTCATTCTGTTAAATGAGCAATAATCCCATTTTCCTGGTGGGGCCTCTAATGCTCATAGAAAATAAGAGTCTGAGAGTCCCACAGGCTGGGGCAAAGGAGGGGCAAGTCTGGAGCAAAGGTCTCTGGAGCCTGTTTCCCAGCTTGTCACACAGCGGCTCAGATAGGGTAGGGAAAATGGGCACTGAGGATACTGAATAGCAAACATTCATTTGGATCCCATGTGATCTTCCAGTGAACTTGAGACCAGTCTCATGGTCTCCTCTTGAGAGCTCTAACTGAGGCCCAGAGGGATGAAATGAGTGGTCCAAAGACCATATCCACAAAGCTCAAGAAAGTTCCTGAAGAATGTCCTTAAACTCCTTGAAGTCATCTGTAAAATGATTTGTTTGCATTTCTGTCCCTTTGACAGATCTCAGTTAAGAGCCACTCATTTAAGCTGAGGCCTTTTTGATTCCAAAGTCTGTGCCCTGAGGCTCAATCCACTGGATACTGGTTAAAAGAGCATCCTTTAAAGTAAAACTCACAGAAGATCTGCATCCATATCCTGGCTTTACTACTGACAGGCTGTGAAACCTCATTTCCATATGTGCAAAAGTGGGCTTCGTTTGTTCCACAAATACATTATGGAGCCCGGGCTCTGATTCAGCCACTGCCCCAGATGCTGAGGGCACAGCAATGAATTAAACAATGTTCCTTCTGTTCTTAATCTTATATTCTGTGAAGGGAAAAAGACAATAAACAGAGTATGTCAAATTTTGATTAATGCCATGAAGAAAAACAAAGCGGAATAAGGGGGCCAGCTGTCTTGTACTGGGGAGGCTGGGCTATTATTTTTTTATCAGATGGTCAGAGAACCTTCTCTGTTGGCCATTTAACCAGAGACCTGAGTGAAGGGAGGGAGTTGCATGGCTTTTAGGAGAAAGAACCTGCTAAAGTCAAAGGGGAGAAAATGATATGTGGGGAAGGTGAAGAGCTCCTTGTGCCCCACGGAAAGAAATTGAAAATCCTTAAACTGACATTCAAATCTTACTCAATCTGGCTCCAAATTAATTTCTGACCCTCCTCTGGGTTTACTTGCTCATTCCTCATGGTTCTGCTTCAGACTTTTTTTCTTTATTGCCTAAGAAATGAGGCCAACTCATTTAACATACCCTCACCAGTACCCACTGTGGGCTCTCTGGTGGGGAGGGAGGATGATACGGTGTCACGAGTGGTTACTATAGACTCCGTCTGAGGCGCAGTTACATTCAACCAAATTCACTTTATTCATTCTCATCACACTTCAGAGACATCCTAATTTTAAGTCCTAACTGAGGCTACACCCAAGGGTCCTAGACACTTACCTGTGACGTGACTCAGGTGTGATGGAGTTCCGGGTCACTGGAACTCCATCTGGGCCAGAGGAGTCTGGTGCAGGGGAACAACAGCAACGGAGGTCTCAGTCTTTCTGTCCAGGTCTGTTAGTCCTGCTGACCTCCAGAAGTCTGGGTTTTTAAGTCCTAGTTCAGTTGTGCTTGCAGCTAATAACTGGATGAGGTCTGGGGTGCACTCCCCAGGTGTAGACTCTAACAATACTAATTTAAGTCTGTTTAGTTCTGCAGTTTATCCAGTATTGCGGTTTACATTGCATCATGGGCTAATTGCTTATAGTCATCTACTTATTCACTCAACACACACACACTAATTAATATGATCAACAGTCAATAATCCCATAATATTTCTGGTGCTCATATCATAAGGGCATTACTAATTTCAATAGAGTCAAATGAATACCACAAGATGGGACTAACCCAGGACTACAGGAGTACAGAAGAGTAAGTAACTGGCTTTGTCTGAGAGAGAGAGAGGTGCTTGTCAGAGAGAGAGGTGCTTGTCAAAGAGAGAGGCTTCAGTGAAGAGGAGCATGTGCATAGACAGGTAGGAGTTTACCATGTGATTATAAAGCAAGAATTAGATAGGATATTCTGGGAAGTACTAACTGCAGAGAGCATCCTAGTTAGGAAATCACCAATTTTTAGCAGTTAGATATACTTTGCTATTTTATACCCACACTGTGGGACAAACAGAGTTAACACATAACTATCTACAAAGTCCAGCCAGGTGAATAAGTCCTGCTGGCTCAGCAGTAACCAGGGTAGCTGGACAGTAAGTGACCTGCCTTAAGGAAAATAGTTGATTCTGACTGTGGGAGTATAGGCTCACTGCTGGTTGGATACATGCTGTAAAATTCATTCTATTTAAGTTTATATTTTGATGAGTTTTGTCAAAAAACACACAGCTGTGCAACTATTATGATAATCAAGACTAGAAAGTTCTGTCACCTCTGAAATTTCTTCATGCCCCTTTAGAGTCCCTAGTCCTTTCTCCCTCAGCCTCTGGACACTACTGATCTGTTTTCTGTCCCTGTGGTTTTGCCTTTGCAGGAATGTTATGTAAACAGAACCATGGTATGCAGCCTTTTGTGTCTGGATGCTTTCACTTAACCTAATGCATTGGAGTTCATTCAGGTAGTTAGTCTTCCATTACTGAGCACTAACCCACTGAAGACGCCCAGCGCTTGGTTTATCCACTCCCTGGTTGAAGGACATTAGGATTGTTTTTTAGCATTTGGTGACTACAGATATAGTCACTATTTATGAACATTTGTAGGCAGGTTGTGTTTGAATCTGGGTTTTCATTTCACTTGGGTGAATAAAAGTGGAATTGCTGGGTCGTATAAGTCTATGTTTAACTTTGTAAGAAACTGCCAAATTATTTTCCAGAGTGGCTGTTTGTACCATGTTGCACACCCACCTGCATGTGTAAGAGTTCCAATTACTGGGCATCTTTGTCAACACTTGGCTTCGACAGTATTTTAAAAATATTTATTTATTTAGCAGTACTGGAGATTGAACCCAGGGGTGCTCTACCTCTGAACTACACCCCCAGCCCTTTTTATTTTTTATTTTGAGACCAGGTCTCTCTTAAAGTGCCCAGGCTGGCCTCCCACTTGTGATCCCCCTGCCTGAGCCTCCCAAATGGATTATAGCTGGGTGCCACCGTGCCTGGCCCGTCACTGTTTTTTTAAAGGCCATTCTAATAGGTATGTAGTATGCTTTTATTGTAGTTTTTAATTTGTCTTTCCTAAAAACTAATTATGTTGAACATCTTTTCATGTGCTTATTAACCATCTGTGTGTCTTCTCTGGTGATGGGTCTACTTGAAATTCTGTCTTTGTTTTTCTAGTTGAATTTTGAGGGTTCTTTTTCGGTAACAGTTTTATTGAGATATAATTAGCATACCATAAATTTACTCATTTAAAATGTACAGTTGAATGGTTTTTAGTATATTCATGGAGTCATGCAATCACTGCCACAACTCATTTTAAAACATTTCATCCACTTGAGAAGAAACCTCATCCCCTTCAGCTATGACCTCCCAGTGCCCCATGACTCCCCTTCTGGCCCTAGCCCTATGCAACTATATTTGCCTTTTGTCTGTATGTGGATTAGACTGTTACAGACATTTCATATAAATGGAAATTTATAATCTGCAGTCTTTTGTGACATGAAGGTTATTTATATACGAATGTACATGAATATTCTGGGTATGAATATTTTTAACAATCAAATTCTGCATGTCATTTGCAAATGCTTCCCAAGTCTGTGATTTGTTTTCCATTTTTTTTTTATCAGTGCATTATAGTTGTATATAATGTTGGGATTCATTGTTACATATTCACATTGTTACAGTTCACAAAATAATAATGTAATATGGCCATCATCCCTCCCCAGCCTTTCCCCTTTCCATCCTCCTGGTCCTTTTCTTCTACTTTACTGCTCTCCCTTTGATTTTCATGAGATACCCCCTACCTTACTTTTCCTTTTCCTCTCAAGCTTCCACATAGGAGAGAAAACATGATCCTTCCCTTTTGAGTTCTGCTTATTTCACTTAACATGAGGGTCTCAAGTTCCAGGCATTTTCCTGCAGATGAGATGATTTTATTTTTCTTCATGGCTGAATAAAACTCCATTGTGTATATATCACATTTTCTTTATCCATTCATCCAGTGGTGGATGCCTAGGCTGATTTCATAGTTTGCATATTGTGAATTGTGCTGCTATAAATATGGGTGTGCATGTATCACCATAGTATGATGACTTTAGTTCTTTAGGATAAACACTGAGAAGTAGTATACCTGGGTCACATTGTGGTTCCATTCCTAGTCTTTTGAGGAACCTCCATATTGAAGTCTGATATATATATATATAAAACTTAGTTTTAGGTGGACACAGTATCTTTATTTTACATCTATTTGGTGCTGAGGATCGAACCCAGTGCCTCATGCATGGTAGGTGAACACTCTACCACTGCGCCACAATCCCAGCCCCAGAAGTCTGTGGTTTTTATTTTCATTCTCTTAGCAGTGTCTTTTGAAGAGCAGAGATTCTTAATTTTGATGAAATACAATTTATCAACATTTGATAATATATGTTTAGGTATGCAGACATTGTATTAAATTCCTAAAGTTTGGACCATGAAGGTCTTCCAAAGGCCTATGTGTTAAAGGCTTGGTCATTAGGTGGTGCTTTTGGGAGGGGTTGGAACCTTCAGGGAGAGGTCCTCAGATCACTGGGGGAGTGTTCTTGAAGGGGATTTTGGGATTGTCTCTTCCTCATTCTCTTTGCTTCCTGGCTTTTGATCGAACGGTTTTGCTCTGCCACATGCTCCCACCATGATGTGTCTGTCACCTTGCCACAGGCCCAAAATAATGGGTCCAATTGGTTAGAAACTGAAAACTCAAAAAATGTAACCAAAATAAACCATTTCTCTTTGTAAGTTAATTATCTCAAATATTTTGTTACAATGATGGGAAGCTAACACAAAATATAATGAGAACTCTTGAATATGTTGTATACTAACGTTTAACATTTTGGAGCTGGCCAACACAGTTTCTTCTGCCATTTGCTTGGTTGTCAGCAAGTTTGACACTAAAGTCTCTCCTGTTATGTCTGTGTAACTCTAGAGAATCCTGAAATTGAAGAACAACTACAACAACAAAACAAGTTTTCAAATACTGCCAACATTTCCAACTTCTATTCCTTGGCAACCTGGAGTTTTTCTTCATATTTGCATCTTACAAATGTTTAAAAATTTTGCAGCTTAAAAAGATCAGTTCCGGGATTGAAATACAACTGTGTATCATCCATAATGTCTAATTTCTTATTCTTTTTGATCTATCTTTTGATTATCTTTTGATCTATCTTTCCTTGTTCGCAGTGATAGATTTATTCTGTCATTCAGAACTGGAATGTCTCCTTAGCTCATGGCTCTACTGGAAGGCAGGGGAACCTTTAGGAGGTAGATCCTAATGGAAGGAAGTTAGGTCATTAGGACCACGGCTCCTCTTCTTCCTCTGTGTTTGCTTCCTGGCCATCATGAGGTGAACAACCCTCTTCTGCCATATGTTCTTGCCATGATATATTATGCCACCACAGGCTCAAAGCCACAGCACCAAATGACCATGGACTGACACCTATGAAACTTTGAGCCAAAATAAACCTTTCTTCCTTATAAGTTTATTATCTCAGTTAATTTTGTTACAGTGACACAAAACTGACTAACAAACTGTAAAGAAGTCAATATCACAGATTTTATGGTAGAGAGATCAAAACGAGTATCATTTCCCTTTTCCAGCCAAGAAAGATTACATTTCCTAGAGTCTTTTGCATTTGAAGTGAGGCATGTCACTGGATCCTAAGGGCCACTGGGATGTGGGCAGAAGTGGTGTATACTCTTTCTTCCCCTTCCATGGAAGCTAGAGCTTTATTCTGATAGAACCACAAGTGGTAAGAGGGTGGATATCTGGATCACTGGTTGGAGAGATGGAGGAGATCTGCCAAGAAGAGTTCCTTGAGTTGCCCTGAACCGTGTGGCATGAGGAAGAAACCAATCTTTGTGCTGAGATGTTGGGTTTACTTGTTCTTATAGCAAATCCTGATCTGTCTTAATACTGAATTAAACAAATTAAACAAAGTTTCTAATAAAACATAGTTTTTATCTATTCTATATTGGGTTTCATACATTATTTATTTTTTTAAGCTTTACATACATACATTATTTATTAAAGAGCAAAAAAAAATTCTGCTGCTATAAAACTTACCAGAATCAATGGTTGAGTTTAAATCTTAGAGATGGGAGAACTCACGGCTTTAGAGAAGGGACTTCTCTAGTGTGACACAGCAATGGAAGGGTTAGAATCCAGCATAGGTACATCTGTAGTTTTAGCCTGCCCTTGCTTTTGGTCAAATTTTCTCATCTTCCTGTTCAGGTCATTTGCTTCATGCAGGACTCACCCTCATGTCTCAGCTCCAGGTCTGGTTAATCCACATAACCTATCACCCAGGCTTCAGTGATTGGCTTATGACAGACATATGACACAGACTGGGCCAATCACAGCTAGTTCCAGGGTTTTTGCTGGAACTCCATGGACTGTTCAATCAATAAGCTACATCTTTAGCTTTAGTTGAGAATGAAGTGAACAGTGAAAAAGCAGAACTGAGAATGGAGAAAGATAGAGGTGTTTGATCTAGCCATTCCTCAAGTTTCAGCTTTTAGTCACACAAATCAATAAATCTTCTTTTTGTTTCTGCAAGTTTTGATGGATGTTTGGTCCCTTGATCTGGAACTACCCTGATGTGTAGAGTCTAATTTGTGCTTCTTCCATTAAGGGATAGCAGTTACTGTATTTTTCTATTTACTGACAAGAAAATAAAGGCTCAGTTCTTTTGTAATCAAATAGCTCAAGTCTTACAGGATTCAAGGTTTGGTGACTCCCCTTTTGTCTTGGGTATGCCCCACATGGGAACTCCTCATTACTTCTAGTTCTGCCCTAGTACAGATATACTCGACCCCACATTTCATGAAGGAGAGTTGAACATGATATCCACCACAGAGTAGATATTAAACATTGATGAAATGAAAGAGATGAAAGAGAGAACCTCCTACAAAAAATGAATGAAGTGTGTGTTGAAGCAGTTCACTGGAATGAGATATATAAATGACGCACACCTTAAAGATACTTCACTAACAATGCAACTAATACAGATACTGTCTTCCACCCATGAGTTTGTCAAAGAGCTAAAGGATGGAGGATTAGCACTTTCCTGGCTTGCCAGTATAGGAGGATAAGGTGGCCCAGCCTTTTTGGAGGGTAATTTGGCAACGTCTGCTAAATGTAAAAATGTACAAGATATTCACCCGTTGACTTGGAATTTATTCTACAAATAAACTCCAGCAAATATACAAAGATGCAAGTAAAAGGCCATTTGGTAGAGAATTATTTGCAATAGTAAAAACTGGAACCGATGCCCATTAAAAAGGAACAATCTCTATGAATCACAGTACATCCAAACCACGGAATAAATTTCTGCTGCTAAAAATAATGAGGTAGTCCTGGATGTACGGGGGTGGAAAGGTGTCCAGGGTATACTATGTTGTTAGGGGAAAACAGGATGTGTGATCCGATGCTATTTATGTTGAAATGAAAATGAAATCTTACCAAAGTTAAGAAGAACATAATTTGGGAAAGTAGGACTAGGGAGTCAGGGGACTTTAATTTTCAACTAATTAATCTTTTACGATTTGATTTTTAAAATTATGAACATATATTAGGATTTTGTTTATTCATTTGAATATCTAATAATGTACCAGGTGAAAAAATTCAGAAGGCACAAAGGGAGATGTGTGCAGTTCTTCAGTTATGTCCAACTATCTGATGCAGAATTCTTTTTTTTTTTTTTTTTTCAGTACTGGGGATTGAACCCATATTACAGAATTGATTTCTAACACATGGGTGTTATTTTGAGGAGGAGGAGGAGGAGAAATGAGTGAGAAAGGGTGGAGGTCCTTGGCAGATATTGCTCTGGGGTGGACTGCCCTTCTTAGGATCCTTCTTTGTCTTCGATTTCTGGGCATCAGGATTCTACGGATTCTGTGAAGTACTGGGGGAAGACCTGGGGGAAGGCCTTGGGGATGCCCTGCCGGTGGCTCCTGGCTGTTTCTCTGGGTCCTGTACCCCAGGACACCAGGGAGTGGGCACCGAAGTCTCCTGGGACCAGCCCCCTTCCTGCCAGCTCCCTGGTGATGCCCAAACACTCATTAGGCAAGACAGGTCTGTAAGCAAATATTTACCCCTGTGCAGCTGCGGGCTGCAGGTGCAGGCCAGAGTCCTGTTTACCTAGTGTTGAGCCAGGCAGGCACTGTCTGTTTGCTAAGCTCCCTTCCTGACCTGGCTCAGATTCCTGCCTGGGAGGAAGCTGAGGCAGGAGGGGATGTACCATGTGAGAAGTTAGGAGGTGCTGCCCTGGCAGCCAAGCCTTGCAAGGGCCTCACTGTCAAGACCAGACTCCTGATGTGGCCTATAGGGCCATGAGCTTTCTCCTTCCTCTCTTCCCTTGCAACCTTCCCATATGCTCTTTGCTAGGGGTGAGGCATCCCCCACCTCTTTGGGCTGGCTCCTGCTCATTCTTGAGTCTGAGCTTCAATACGGTCTCTTTGATCCCCTCCTCACTCCAGAGTATTTGGGCTTACTATGAACCACTGTTATGACCTCCACAATTTACCTCCATGATAATTGTGGTTGTCCTTCAGTATCCATAGAGGACTGGTTCCAGGGCTCCCTGCCAACACCAGAATCCATGGATGCTCAATTCCCTTCTCTAAAATGATGTAGAATTTGCCTATAACCCCCCCACACCCACATCTTCCTGTATGGGCCTCTCAAAGGTCAGGCAAGTGCTCTACCATTGAGTTTCAGTCCCCTCAGCCCCTGTAATCATCTCTAGGTTATTTATAATACCTAACACAATGTAAATGCAATGGAAATAGTTGTACTGTATCATTTAGGGAATAATGACAAAGAAAAAGTTTGTACATGTTTAATAAGACACAATTTTTTTGTAATATTTTGGACCTTCAGTTGTTTACTCCATAAATGCAGAACCCACGGATATGGAGGGGTGACCTTATTTATTTTTCCACCATTACCTAGTTAATGTTTGCCTTCTCTGTTAGATACCAGATGGGCAGGAACAGGGGCAGTTGTGTTCATTCCTGTTTCCCCAGCACCTCCCAGAGAGCCTGGCATGCCATTTGTTAAGTGTCTGTCTGAGTGAGGCCAGGTCAAGGGAATCACAGCGGCAAAGGCCTAGAGGTGTGACCAAGGGGTAGAGAGGGAGTGGGGAGCCAGGCCGTATGGTGGTAGTTGCGGGGTGAACTGAGGCTGGAAAGTTACAAAAGACCGTGAATGTTATGCCAGGGAGTTTGAGTTTTATCTAGTCAGCAATGGGAAATTACGCAAATAATACAACAGATGAGAAAGTGATGAATCAAAGCTCCAAGTTGAACAGTATAAAGTCTACCAGGCCCTGTGTCATCCGCCGTCTCTGCCAGCCTTCTTTTCCCTTCTTCTCTCTCCCCTTACTCCAGCCACACTGGTTTCATTGCTGTTTCTTGAACAAAACAGATATACTCCACCCTTGGGGCCTGTTATGGTCTGAATGTTTCTGTCCTCCCCAGCCCCTCAAATCCCCATGTTGGAAACTACTCTCTCAGGTGATGGTATTAGGAGGCAGGCATTTGGGAGTGGCTAGGTCATGAGGGTGGAGCCCTCATGAATGTGATTAGCATCCTTATATAAAGAGGCCCCAGAGAGCTGCCTGGACCCTTCTACTCTTTTTTTTTTTTTTTTAAGTATTTATTTTTTAATTGTAGTTGGACCCATTCCTTTATCTTATTTATTTTTACGTGGTGCTAAGGATCGAACCCAGGGCCTTGCATGCGCTAGGCAAGCGCTCTACTGCTGAGCCACAACTCCAGCCTGACCCTTCTAAAAGTGGTCTCTTACCAGACTCTCAATCTGTTAGTGCCTTGATCTTAGATTTCTCAGCTTCCAGAACTGTTAACAACAAATTTCTGTTTCTAAGTGCTATGGTTTGAATGTGTCCCCAAATTTCTTGTGTTAGAAATAATCCCCAATTCAGCCATGTTGGGAGGTGGGCCCTTTAAGAGTCAATTAGTTCTAATGGCTCTTTCCCTCAGGTACATGAATGCTGTGTTGCCAAGTGGGTTCCTGATTCAAGGATCAAGTCTGTCTCTCCCTGCTCCTCTCTCTCTCTCCTGCCTTTCCACCTTCCTCCGAGAGATGATACAGCAGAAGGGCCCTCACTGGATGTGGGACCCTTGACCTTGGACACCAACTTCCAGAACTAAGAAGAAATAAAGCTATTTTCTTTATAAATCTCTGAGTACTTTGATATTCTGTTATAATAGCACAAAATTGGCTGACAATAAACTACCCATGTATGGTATTTTGTTATAGCAGCTTCCTTGGACCAAGACTGAACAGGCAGTTTTCTCTGTCTGGAATACTTTTCCCTCGGACATCATCTTGGTTTAAATCTCAGCTTCCAACATCATCTTACCAGAGAGACTTTCTGAGACACCCCGAAAAAAGAGCCTCCCTGCCCAGGGCCTCCTTATCTGCTTCTCTTTACTCTGTAACATTTGTATCTGTTTGTCTTTTGTCTGTCTTCTCCCCAGGGATGTCAACTCCAAGAATGCAGAAATGTCATCTCTCTTATTTCCTGCTGTATCCTCCCAGCCTAGAATGTGTACCTTTAGACTCAGTAAATGCTGTTGAATGAATGAATAAATGAATGTGTAATATTAAGCCAAGCTTCCCAGGTCCTGGAATGATGCTAAATGCTGCTTGCCTGGGCCCATCCCAGTCCTGTTTCCAGAGTCGTCACACAGCCATTAGCTCCTCTGATCTGCACATCAGCCAGGAGGTGAGTGCAGGACGGGGATTATGATCTGCCTTAAAAAATGATTAGGTATGGCACAAAAGTATCACGATCACACAGACAGAAACGAGGATGATGCCTGCAGGCTCATGATTTTAGCAAATCAATTTTGAAAATTTGATGTGTGGGAATTATGGCAAAGAGGAAAGAGTCTGCATTTTGAGGCAAGCTTCCCTGCATTCAATTCCCAGCTCAGCTATTTACTTATTCTGTGACCTGAGACCAATCAAGCCCTTCTATCAACCTTGGTTACCTCTTCTACAAAGCATAGATAATGTTCCCTTAAATAGGAACACTGCAGAAGGCATTTCAATATGAACATCCCCTGGAAAGCACCAGTTACTGTGTCTCCTTTTTGGTAACTGTAACTCCTTTTGGTCAATTGAGTCATGAGCTTTGCTTAATTGACTAGTTCTGGCCATGGTAACAGTAGCTTCTGTGTATTGATCAAGCTCAGTGTCAGGTCAAGCTAAACCTTCAA